TGAAAGTATCGGTCACACTTCTCTAATGTCAGGGAGGAGTGAAAGTATCAGTCACACCTCTCTAATGTCAGGGAGGAGTGAAAGTATCGGCCAAACTTCCCTTCTGACAGGGAGGAGTGAATGTATCAGTCTCACTTCTCTAATGTCAGACGGTTACACTTACCTAATGTCAGGGAGGAGTGAAAGTATCTTCACACTTCTCTAATGTCAGAGTGTGAATGTCAGACAGGAGTGAAAGTATCGGTCACACTTCTCTACTGCCAGACAGGAGTGAAAGTATCGGTCACACTTCTCTAATGTCAGTGAGGAGTGAAAGTATCGGTCACACTTCTCTAATGTCAGAGGAGTGAAATGTCAGACAGGAGTGAAAGTATCGGTCACACTTCTCTAATGTCAGGGAGGAGTGAATGTGTATCGGTCACACTTCTCACTAATGTCAGGGAGGAGTGAAAGTATCAGTCACACCTCTCTAATGTCAGGGAGGAGTGATGTATCAGTCACACTTCTCTAATGTCAGACAGGAGTGAAAGTATCGGTCACACTTCTATAATGGCAGACAGGAGTGAAAGTATCGGTCACACTTCTCTAATGCCAGACAGGAGTGAAAGTATCGGTCACACTTCTCTAATGTCAGGGAGGAGTAGAGTATCAGTCACACTTCTCTAATGTGACAGGGAGGAGTGAAAGTATGTCACACTTCTCTAATGTCACACTTCTCTAATGTCAGGAGGAGTGAAAGTATCGGTCACACTTCTCTAATTTCAGACAGGAGTAAAAGTATCGGTCACACTTCTCTAATGTCAGAAGTATCGGTCACACTTCTCTAATGTCAGAAGTATCGGTTACACTTCTCTAATGTCAGACAGGAGTGAAAGTATCGGTCACACTTCTCCAATGTCTGGGAGGAGTGAGGTATCGGTTACACTTCTCTAATGTCAGGGAGGAGTGATGTGTCAGTCACACTTCTCTAATGTCAGAAGTATCGGACTCACTTCTCGAATGTCAAACAGAAGTGAAAGTATCGGTCACACTTCTCTAATGGGAGACAGGAGTGAAAATATCGGTCACACTTCTCTAATGACAGACAGTAGTGAAAGTATCGATCACATTTCTCTAATGCCAGACAGGAGTGAAAGTATCGGCCACACATCTCTTGTGTCAGTGAGGAGTGAAAGTATCAGTTACACTTACCTAATTTCAGGGAGGAGTGAAAGTATCGGTCACACTTCTCTAATGTCATGGAGGAGTGAATGTATCGGTCACACTTCTCTAATGTCAGACAGGAGTCACACCTCTCTAATGACAGAGGAGTGAAAGTATCGGTCACACTTCTCTAATGTCATGGAGGAGTGAAAGTATCAGTCACACTTCTCTAATGTCAGAGAGGAGTGAAAGTATCGGTCACACTTCTATAATGTCAGACAGGTGTGAAAGTATCGGTCAAACTGATCTAATGTCAGGGAGGAATGAAAGTATCGGTCACACATCTCTTGTGTCAGTGAGGAGTGAAAGTATCAGTTACACTTACCTAATGTCAGGGAGGAGTGATTTTTCAGTCACACTTCTCTAATTTCAGACAGTAGTAAAAGTATCGGTCACACTTCTCTAATGTCAGAAGTATCGGTCACACTTCTCTAATGTCAGGGAGGAGTGAAAGTATCGGTCATACCGCACAAATGTCAGGGAGGAGTGAAAGTATCGGTCATACCGTACAAATGTCAGGGAGGAGTGAAAGTATCGGTCATACTTTTATAATGTCAGGGAGGAGTGAAAGTATCGGTCACACTTCTCTAATGTCAGTCAGTAGTGAAAGTATCGGACACACTTCTCTAATGCCAGACAGGAGTGAAAGTATTGGTCACACTTCTCTGATGTCAGGGAGGAGTGAAAGTATCAGTCACACCTCTCTAATGCCAGACAGGAGTGAAAGTATCGGCCATATTTGCCTTGTGACAGGGAGGAGTGAAAGTATCGGTCACACTTCTCTAATGTCAAGGAGGAGTGATGTGTCAGTCACACTTCTCTAATGTCAGAGAGGAGTGAAAGTATCGGTCACACTTCTATAATGTTAGACAGGAGTGCAAGTATCGGTCACACTTATCTAGTGTCAGAGAGGAGTGATGTGTCAGTCACACTTCTCTAATGTCAGGGAGGAGTGAAAGTATTGGTCACACTTCTATAACGTCAGACAGGTGTGTAAGTATCGGTCAAACTGATCTAATGTCAGGGAGGAATGAAAGTATCGGTCACACATCTCTTGTGTCAGTGAGGAGTGAAAGTATCAGTTACACTTACCTAATGTCAGACAGTAGTGAAAGTATCGTTCACACTTCTCTAATTTCAGACAGGAGTAAAAGTATCGGTCACACTTCTCTAATGTCAGACAGGAGTGCAAGTATCGGTCACACGTCTCTAATCTCAGAAGTATCGGTCTCACTTCTCTAATGCCAGACAGTAGTAAAATTTCCGGTCACACCTCTCGAATATCAGACAGGAGTGAAAGTATCGGTCACACTTCTTTAATGTCAGACAGGAGTGAATGTATCGGTCACACTTCTATAATGTCAGACAGGAATGCAAGTATCGGTCACACTTATCTAGTGTCAGAGAGGAGTGATATGTCTCTCACACTTCTCTAATGTCAGGGAGGAGTGATGTGTCAGTCACACTTCTCTAATGTCAGTGAGGAGTGATTTGTCAGTCACACTTCTCTAATGTTAGTCAGTAGTGAAATTATCAGTCACACTTTTCTAATGTCAGACAGGAGTGAAAGTATCGGTCACACTTCTCTAATGCCAGACAGGAGTGAAAGTATCGGTCATACTTCCCTTGTGACAGGGAGGAGTGAAAGTATCGGTCACACTTCTCTAATGTCAGGGAGGAGTGAAAGTATCGGTCACATTTCTCTAATGACAGACAGGAGTGAAAGTATCGGCCTTATTTCCCTTGTGACAGGGAGGAGTGAAAGTATCGGTCACACTTCTCTAATGTCAAGGAGGAGTGATGTGTCAGTCACACTTCTATAATGGCAGACAGGAGTGAAAGTATCGGTCACACTTCTCTAATGCCAGACAGGAGTGAAAGTATCGGCCATACTTCCCTTGTGACAGGGAGGAGTGAAAGTATCGGTCACACTTCTCTAATGTCAGGGAGGAGTAGAGTATCAGTCACACCTCTCTAATGCCAGACAGGAGTGAAAGTATCGGCCTTATTTCCCTTGTGACAGGGAGGAGTGAAAGTATCGGTCACACTTCTCTAATGTCAAGGAGGAGTGATGTGTCAGTCACACTTCTCTAATGTCAGAGAGGAGTGAAAGTATCGGTCACACTTCTATAATGTCAGACAGGTGTGAAAGTATCGGTCAAACTTCCCTTGTGACAGGGAGGAGTGATGTGTCTGTCACACTTATCTAATGTCAAGGAGGAGTGATGTGTCAGTCACACCTCTCTAATGTCAGGGAGGAGTGAAAGTATTGGTAACACTTCTATAATGTCAGACAGGTGTGAAAGTATCGGTCAAACTGATCTAATGTCAGGGAGGGATGAAAGTATCGGTCACACATCTCTTGTGTCAGTGAGGAGTGAAAGTATCAGTTACACTTACCTAATGTCAGGGAGGAGTGATTTTTCAGTCACACTTCTCTAATGTCAGACAGGAGTGCAAGTATCGGTCACACTTCTCTAATGTCAGAAGTATCGGTCACACTTCTCTAATGTCAGACAGAAGTGCAAGTATCGGTCACACTTCTCTAATGTCAGAAGTATCGGTCTCACTTCTCGAATGTCAGACAGAAGTGAAAGTATCGGTCACACTTCTATAATGTCAGACAGGAGTGAATGTTCCGGTCACACTTTTCTAATGTCAGACAGGAGTGGAAGTATCGGTCACACTTATCTAGTGTCAGAGAGGAGTGATGTGTCAGTCACACTTCTCTAATGTCAGGGAGGAGTGAAAGCATCGGTCACACTTCTCCTTTGTCAGGGAGGATTGAAAGTATCGATCACACATCTCTAATATCAGGTATGAGTGGTGTGTCAGTCACTCTTTTCTAATGCCAGGGTGATGTGAAAGTATCGATCACACTTCTCTAAGATCATGAAGGAGTGAAAGTATCAATCACATCTCTCTTATGTCAGACAGTAGTGAAAGTACCGGTCACACTTCTGGAATGTCAGGGAGGAGTGGTGTGTCAGTCACATTTCTCTTGTGTTAGGGAGGAGTAAAAGTATCGGTCACACTTCTCTTGTGTCATGGATGAGTGAAATTGTCAAGAATTGTGAGTATATAGGCTCAGCCTAATTGGTAGCAAACAGATAAAACAACGATAAATAATACATTCAACAAATGTATTCACTTGGAATTTATATATACAAAATTATAACAAATATATATTCAACTCACTTAGCGCCCATCCACTCTCACATTCATTCAATACAACTACTTATATTTGATTAAATACACATTTTTCAGAACCAGGTCTCTACATATATACTTCACTGTCTGCCCAAAGTTCCCGTCTCTCCAGGTGGTACCACACAGTCCTGCACTCTGCTCCACCGATTGGTTTAACTTTACATCACTGATGGAATATAAACTGGCCCCACACCACTCTGGTTGCCTCGTTATTCTGTGACCTTCACTTCCACTACGGGTCTCCCTGTCTGGTTTAGAGGTTCATGCCTTCCTGCCCCAAGGTCACCTACAAGGTTACAGAGTCAGCACTCTTAAGTTCAATAATCAATGGGTTCTCTTCCGTGCAATTACATTCTATACATAATAGCATTTAATACATATATATCTCTTTCTTTCTAGTAATTATTTCTCTATTAATATTCCCTAATATCTTACATTCTTTTAGGAAATACCTGTACAACAATGACCTATCAATATTACACTATTATGCTAGTAAATTACTTATAATAATATACTCTCCCTAATTTACAACATATTTTACAAAATAACCATACCAACATTACATGAATTATAAACCATGTACGTACTGTTGGTGTCTCTGCCTTCTACTTCCGAGCACACAGCTTCTCCAAGTAGCATAGGTTTAGGAGCCCAACTCAGCACACAGCTTTCATATGGTGACTCCAACTATCTCTAAACTTGGACTTACTTTGGGCACACAGCCCTGGTAACATTACATTACCATATGATAAGCACACAGCTTATGCATCCAACCCCGTGGCACCCAGCCTATAACATCGGAGAACCTTCCTGGTTCAAGTCCGGGGTTGAAATCCGCTTCGGTATGATGCCGCGTCAAACATATGGTAAGAATGTTAATGAAATGTATTTGGTTATGGTTTTAATAAACTGATTTTACTAAGTCACATTCTAACAATTAATTTCTTACCTTGAAATAAGATCCTGACTTGTTGTTTCATTATCTAACTAGTTAAAGGGGTCTTTGCTGTTTTTGTTTCAGTGTCTTGCAGTCATATTCATGCCTATGATAAACAACAAGTGGTACTTCAGAACACTCGGTGCTACCATCTAGCACAAGAAAGCTTGTCATGGAATGATGCCGCCGTCAGGTGTCGGACCAATAACGGCGCTCTTGCCAGCATTCCTGATACGGAAGTTAATAGTGTCCTCCTGGAACTCTCTACTAATTTGGACTACAATAACCTGGCAAATGTATCGTTCTATTGGATCGGTGGAAGAGTGCTTTCCAGGGGAAAAGGCGTTACATGGTTACAGGGTAGGTGATAAACACTAGTATGGCTGCCATTTTGTTTACGCATTAGAATTAGTCATTAAGTTTCTGAGACTTAAAATCATACAAACTTATGTCAAAAACGGAGATTCATGAATGATATTTCCAACATATGTAATATTTCTGTAAACATTTATTAAAAGCCTGTTTGCAGAAAGCATGATTTTTGTTTGTTGTTAAATGAGGTTTTCTTTCAATTGACTATCTAGCATCACTGAGGAGTCGTAGAAGACGAGACGGCTGTGTGATGCAGTTTAGTTGATTATTTGACTATACTGTGTCTAAGTCAAAATTTCTAATGCTCTAATTACATGTCTGTTGTACAACCCTTGACGTATTGGTGAGAGCACTATACATTCCCAGGGATCATTATAAGTCATATATAAAGACGTTGAAAATATTCACACATAGATTTTAATAAGAAACATCAATTGAAGCGGCAAAATAAGTATTGTCGTGTGTTTTTATTGCATGAGATAGAAAGGTAATTTAAGATGCCGAATATTCTACACAAGAAAGTGAAGTGTTCATTATACGAACATCCCGTTACCATATCAAAATGTCAGATAATAGTGATGCTTCTATGGCAGATCCAGGTACTAAATTCGTGGCATTTAATGACGGCGAACCTCAGGGATTCAATGAATTTGGCTGTTTCTTGTTGGACCCAGGGACAGGAGGATGGGCCACAGACATTTGTCAGGCAGAACTGGAACTTGTCGGTTACATATGTGAATACCCTAGTAAGGAGAAAGGTAAGTATGTTGTATAGTTTACATATTCACGGATGGTTGAATTCCACAATATTTGCGGAAGTATAACCTCTTTGAAAGTATAAAACCAAAACAGTTGAACGAAATGTCCACGTGTAATCATTGCATAGCGGAGTGATATCGAAAACAAATGATTTGATAAACACAGGATATCCAATGGTGACTTCAGTCATAACAAATATATTTCACAAATGTCACGTGTCTAATATTTCAGTAACTTTCACGAGTACTTAGCACGACTGAAAAATACCAGGAAAGAAGAAACAATTTGAAATTCTATTAATTACATTTTCCCAAGCGAAATAGCCAATCACTGTCATTTTTAGAATAGATATAAAACAAGGAAGCTGACTAAGCTTTCTGTGGACAATACTCACTCATTATAACATCGCAGTACGCGACAAAATATTGTCCATTAAAAAAAATGCATTAAAAATATGTGAACACAAAATTAAAAATTATTTTCATATTCACATTGAAAATGTTACTTATTCATGTCACTAGGAGACAAAATTTGCTGTAAAACGTTTAAAGAGAGTTTAACTGTGATAAGTTACTGCGCGACTGAAAATATGGCAGATGCATATGATTGTCGTTGTTGATGACACGAATCCCGTTGAAATGTAAATCGCTCTACATTCAAGACGTTCGGATGGGGATTGGATTTGATCGCTGATAAGGCAATTTGTGTTACAATCTTTGCTGATTTTCATGGAAATTAAGGACAACTATGGTATTGAAGGTCGTGTCACAAGTAGGGTAGGATACAGAAAATACGGACGCTCTTGTTCAACTCGCCATGTAAAGCATATGTCAACATGTCGTACCTAGTCCGTCTTCTATGTTGTTGGTTTTGACTTTATAAACTCAAACGAAGTAAATCTAGTAAGTTCGAATTGCAAACATTGAAAATATGTAATAAAATAAACGACGGACGGAAATTGTAAGGGTAAGGAAAATACGGTCACGTTTTAGGAAATTACGGAGAACGTTGTTGCTTAATTTCAGTCAATTTAATTTTTATCGATGAGATATTTCTCTATATTTCACCGGCAAAAATATAATAAAAAAATAATAAATACATTTTCTTTAATAGGTCTATCCTAGTTAATCTACAGTGACAAATATTATCGTACAGATTTAGCGTGTAATGTAATTGTATGTTATCTCTGAATATAACTTTTTTACATGTAATTATCAATAAAAGTAGTTAGCTGGTTTAATTTCACCCATCCTTGAATTTTACCCATGTCTGTCCTTACAGAGGTACAGCCTTCAGTTACATCTGGAACGCAGTCACAAACTACTTCTTTGATGGAACTAGGTAAGGATAGTTTTCCTTGTGCGAGATTTTAAGCTGCATTTTTTCTTAATATATTGTTGCACTAAAAAACAATCGCTTAATTGACCGACTGTGATGGATTTATTTATTTTTAAGAAAAAAATCTGTAATGTCAGTTATTGGCAGGAATTTTGACGAAATGAACGAGGATACATCAAATAGCGAAACGATTGACTTCTAAAAATCACATTCTGACCGGCCTGTTGGTTTTGAGGAAGTAATCATGACGGTTTACAGGAAAAAAGAGATAAATATTGGAATCGCGAGAGAATCTTAATTCAAACCCATATTTGATGATACTCGGGCAATGCAATGAGAACTAAGAAACATTTACATAGAAAGACATGAAATAAAAACCAGGAGAACAAGGCTTTGGTTTTCCGGAAGGGTTAACGTCTTTAGTTTCATCGACGACCCCCGAAATGTGCATCTTTGTCTTATACACACTGATTAAATGAATAACTTTGAATAACCTTGGCCTAATTTACGAAATATTTTTACTTCCTTTATCAAAATGACAATAACGGAGACTTATGAAACATATAGGTTTGTGACCTGTGTTCATTCTGCAGTTCAAAATCTGACCGTACGATTACTTGATGAAATCTTATCTCAAGGCTGTAGGATCGGTTGATCTAAGATTTAGAGGTATCACAGTTTGTAAACAAACACAGATACAATAACAGTAAGGAATGTTATCAGATTGATTATAACGCTGTTCTATGGAAATCTCAATCATGGAGATATCAGTACGTTTCCTGATGAAGGTCGTAAATTTCCTGCAGTTTTATTCTACACTACCAAATGTTCTGCTGTTCTATTGTATCGCTTGTTGTGTATATGTATTGATGGGTGGGGGAAGGGAAGTAACTCGAATTGACTGGTATTAAATTACTGTTTGGTTGAGGTTGAAACTCTTCAAATATAGAATGGAGAAAAAAAGTGATGAGGTATAAAATTTTGGAAAGGAGATCACGCACCGTTTGATAATTTTCCTCTCACATACAGATAACGCTAACACTCTTTGTCTTTCAGGTACTGTCAGCCTTTGTGTCACTATCATCAGACTGGACCGTAGTCGCCTGGATATTCTAATCATTTAACTGTCAATAAGAAGATGTGATGTTGATGATTTGAAGCGACTTACAATAAAAAAACAACTTAAATCTGAACGAGTCGGTGATGCTGTACGGTAAAACAGCCGTCCAAATTAATTTCAGACATGCAGTAGAATATTAATTTCTCATGGCGTTGAATTCACATTTGTACATAAAGTATGTATTTCTTTTTTAACATTAAATTTAGACCTGTTTGTCTTTTCGCTTAGTTAAACTGCAGCGAACTTTCCCCCGTGTACAGTAAAGCGAACTTTCCCCGTGTAAAGTAAAGCGAACTTTACCCGTGTACAGTAAACCGAACTTTCCCCGTGTACAGTAAAGCGAACTACACAAGTAAACTGTTAAGGACATTGATTGATCTGTTGACGAGTTGAAAACAAAATCAGCTGATAAAATTGGAATTGAAATACTTATGAAACTAAGTGAACTGTTGATAAAAAGAACTGAACTGTAATCGGTGAAATACAAGAACCAGCTAGCTAAAGTGAGAAAGAGACAATCCTTCTATAAAAAGTAAAATGTAAACTGCGTTCAATTCTTTACTCCTAAACAGGTCGTTTCTGGGTCACACACGAGTCGAGGTAAAATAGAGTGAAGGTAAATGGTATCTCGCTACACTAACAGTTCCTGTATATTCATGTCAGTCATTAGGCTAAACGTACTCAGTACGCATAGCCTATTGCGACGGCCTTTCAGACAAAATTTACCGATCCTGGCCTTCCCATTGGCTGAAATATCGAAAAGAGTTAGAGCCCTCTAGCGGCAATTTTCTGCGTAAATAATGCCGCGATTTTTTCAAATCGCTATTTTAAAAGCTTCCAAAATTAGTTAATTTTTTAAAATAACAATACGATTACTATATATTTCAAAAAAGAAGCACAATGTGGTTAAACTATTGATAGATTTTGAACAATATATTTTACGGATTTCTCGACATGAAGTAAGCGTACAGAACACTGTACGTGCGAGTTGGCGCCATGATATGAAGCTGGTCTGGGGGCTTGGTTTGAATTATCAACTTACAGCACTTATAAACAAACAAAACTTACAAACAGAACATCAATTTTGCTTGTCGTTGTGGCAAGATCGTCTTAATATATAACATCACTTTACCTCATTAGACGTCACAAAATTGGACTGTTCATCCTACGCGCACACCCGCCGATATGACATTTTTTTTCAGGATTTTCACACCCACCGCCAAGACCCTTTTTCAAGTTTTTGAAGATAAAAAAATTGTGCTTCGTAGGCAAGGTTCATTTGGTGCTCATGATTTATGAATAATATATTTTTAATACTGTACTGATCATGATGCTGACTTTGTTATAACTTATATTTTTTGTCTTTCAGTTTTATTTGATGAAGGTTGATTGTGCTGATTTCTCAAGGTTTGTTAATGTGTATCAAAGTTCCTTGAAATGAAAATATTCCTTCAAACAAATCGCGTATTAAAAAAACCCAAAATATTCATGTTTATAATTATCAATTAACTAAAACGAAATATTTCCATAACATATTTATTAATTTAGCGTGTCATGGTGACATTATCTAATGTATTGGAGATCAGAAATAGTAGTAGATATATTGAAAATATTGTAAATTTTGTATATATATGGAAGTCTGGTTTAATCTCATAGAACTATGCCTTTATAGACATAATTACTGGAAGAAAAGTCTTACCACGATACTTCAAGGAAGACTCACACTTATATCTATCTGAAATGCTGTGTATACCTTATCTACTTTCCTCAACTACAAATATAACTATAATAAGTAAGGACTATTACTCGTTTTCCATGATTATATTTTAAATTGGGGCGTAATGACAGGACGTTATTTGTCTAGCGCAATTCCATGATTTGAATTTTTAAAGATATTATGGCACTACTAACTTTCAAAATAAAGAAGTAGGTATAAACTTTCGATTTGTTTAAATCCTCATATTGATAGGATAGTAATTGCAACATCTTGGGTATTTCAAAGGTTTTATTTAGTCAACTTCATCATAGAGCTATTTATCATTTGGCTTGGCGATAAATATATGGTTGTGTGTATTTTGTTATTTTTTTTACCTATTTTGATTTATTTATTGTCGTCAAATTTGAAAGAAGAATTAAAGAAGATACAAAATCGCTTAAAATTAAGAAAAATAGCCTCTGGTTCTCTTATTTTAGTAATTTTTGCATTCCAAAGTGTAGGAGTATGGTGAAAGTAATATAGCTTAGCGGTTATTTGTGAACATTTGTCAATACGTTTAGCCTCTCAGTACTTTCAGTACTTTGATTTTTAATATGTTAAAGGATGTTTGTAAACCACAAGATACACAAGATAGGAGATAGGACCTAACTACAGTGATGACATATTGGAATTCCAGTGTTGAAGCTATATTTAGATTTATTTCTGGTATTTCTTGTTAGTCACTGTTGATCCACTAGATCACGAGCTTATTTCGATTTGTTGAAAACTCATAATTATAGTCAAGTTAACAACCAGCACAACGTGTCCGTATAATGTTAAACCTATACAGGTGAATTTTGAAATAGAGTCGAGAACGCTTATCAATCCGATCCCTTTTCAGGCCTCGTATAGAGTAAATCAAAGGTCATGTGATATATAAACATTTACAGTAAAACGTGGTTTCTTGAAGGCTTGTATTTCTATCATGCGTAACACTGTAATCAGTATGTTAGCTTTACTTGTTCCTAGGGGAGGAGCGCTAGGGGGTAACACATTCTCGCTTTTTTCATCTTAGAACCAAACAGTCGTTGTATTCGAGTTATGTGAAATGCAATTATGTACAACACGTTAAAACAATATTAACATCCCTGATCATTGTCGTGTTGCTGGTTATAATAACAAGTAAGAAAATTTAAGTGAGACTTTTTAGTGACCACAATATCACCTTAATCAGAAAAAAATCATTTTATCACATATTTTTTAACTGATTGTGGCAGTCTTTTTCATACGAAAGCAGTAAACCTACACGTGAATCAAACGAAAGGAGATGTGGGAGAGACGAAGGGAGAGACAAAGTAGAGAAAAATGAAGAGACAAAGGGAGGGACGAAGAGAGAGATGAAAGGAGGGACGAAGGGAGAGAGACGAAGGGATAGATGAAGGGAGGGACGAAGGGAAAGATGAAG